TGGATCAGGAGGGAGAGTCTCTCAGGCTGGAGGTGGATCAGGAGGGAGGGAGAGTCTCTCAGGCTGGGGGTGGATCAGGAGGGAGAGAGTCTCTCAGGCTCTATGCAGGGCATTTGCTTCATGTTTTAAATGGGCTATATTGTCCAGTTGACTACTCAGTCTCTTCTCAGCACACTGTCTTTTCTTAGTAACCGTTACTGTTTAGATATATAAACAAATGACATTTTTCTGTTATATTAGTAAAAGTAAAAAAACAAACAAAAACCCCTTCTTTTTCTAGTTTTTTAAAAGAACCTAGAACATTAACACGTATGTTTGCAAATGATAGAGAATACCAGCTGTTAAGTTTTTTCTAATTTGTAAGAAATTTACACTGAAACTTTTTTTTTAAAAAAACACTTTTTATTTAAGAAAACAGGTTAGTTCTTGCTCCTGGAACACCAGAAGGGGCCTAATTACTATCTGATTACTACACTGATGACATATCTGTTGAAAGGGTGGTAGATTAAGGATTTTAGCTTCAAGTAAATTTTAAAGATTCTAAAATTAGGCTTTATGGTTATGTTTTAGGAAATGTAGACATTTTGAGATATATATAGGACTATGTGCCGCTCTCAGAATTTTCCCTGATGACACTACATGTTTTATGTTTTAGAAGAGACTGAGGAAAAAGGGTCAAACCCAGAGCCTTTATTCTTTTCTTCAAAAGCTATTAGGGTTTTGGTAAATGTGGTGTGAATAGTGTGTGGTTTTTGATATATAAATCTGTTTTCCGTATTGAGAAGAAATAACATTTTAGATGCTTGAATTTGTAATGAAAAGGAAAAACCAGAAGTTTCTGGGGTGTGGGGGGGAGATCAGGAGATAGGAAGGTTTACTCAAGATTTTCCACAAACTTTAGTTTAATAATGAGTTTCTGAACTTTTTCTGTTTTATAGTTTGTTCATATTTCAGATCTGGGGTGTGTTGCTTTACTTTGTTGCTTTACTTTCTCATGAGACGTGTTTAGTATCTAATCCGTGTATTGTACTGTGCTTGCAGGGACTTCACATAGGCCGACATGGAGTTTTGGACTCATCCTGCAGATCTCTGACTGCAGCTCACTGCCCTGAGACAGTGGCTCCTGAGTCCCAGTCTGCAGATGGCTGTCCCTTCATCATTAATTTTCTCCCCCTCTATGGGAAGTAATAGTGAATTGGCCAAGTTGTGAAATTTTCAAAAAGCTAAAGATACTATATTCCATCATACCTTCCTTTTTCTAAAAAGAAAAACCAAAAACCTAAATACCATTTTGTTCATGAAACAATAGTGATAGCAGAAAGCTTTCTGAGGTGTTTCCGCCCAGTCAAAGTAAAACTCTTGCCTGTCTTACTGGTCCCCAACCCCATTTTTATTTTTTTATTTTTTTATTTTTTTTGCTTTTTTGTATATGTAAGAGTTTCCCAGCACCTGGCTTAACAATACTGTCTCAGACAGACTAAATTGGCATGTATGCATGCCCATCTTAAGAGCAAAGCTATCAAAATATGAAGTGAGGAAGGGCTTTTTTTTTTTTGATATTTAATAAATATTTCGCAGTGGGTTAGAATTTAAATTTGATCTAGTGGCAGTGTAGTTTTATATGTTGCAGCTCATTTCGACTGAATCTCATATTCATTTCTTTTTAAATGTAATTTTTTTTAAGAGGTGGGATCTTGCCATCTTTTCCCGGCTGGTCTCAAAGTCCTGGGCTCAGTTTCTCCTACCTCAGCTCCTCAACTGGCTGGGACAGCAGGTGCACACCACCTCTCCCAGCTGCCCTGCACAGGGTTTTAACATGATTATTTAATATAGCTTTGAAATGAAATCTATTTCAGAAACCTTTTTCTTTTCTACAGGTTTTCCTTTCCCCCTTCCACTGGTTTGAGAATCCCCTCAACTGGTCATTTGTTGGGCCTCTTCGATGCTAATAACGCCTCACTTTACTTTTTCCCTAGTGATACAAACGAAGTTGACATCCCACCCAACACTCGGGTTGGCACCAAACGCTATATGCCCCCAGAAGTGTTGGATGAGAGCTTGAATAGAAATCACTTCCAGTCTTACATCATGGCCGACATGTATAGCTTCGGACTCATCCTCTGGGAGGTTGCTAGGAGATGTGTATCAGGAGGTAAGAAACAGTCACATCTTTGAAAAACTACCGTTGGCAGTACTGCACCTCCTTTCTTTTTGATCAGAAGTCAAAATTATCACGTTGTCTGCACAATCATGTTTCCTTTTATATTTGTCCTTTATTTCTAGTGATGCAGCCACAGTACTCCCAGGAAATGATATTTGACATCTTAGCCTGACTGCCTCCTTCCCTCCCCCTCCTACTGAGAGACTCTCCTAGACACACTGCCACATTCCCTGGCCTTTTCAAAGATCACCCTCTTCTTTCCTGCAGATCATCTCCCTTCACTCTGGGGCTCTTTGCCCAGCGGCTGCTCTGTCACGTCACACCCACTCTTCTGCCCCTCCCAGCTTCTTCTCACCACCTGCTGGGCGCCAGCCCCACCTCCAGTGCTCCTACCTGCCCTGTAGAGATGTCTGAAGGACATAATTGCGACTCCCCTGGTTTTTAACTTCTGTACAACTTCCCCACAAAGCAATTTGAAAACATCAGGTTTTATCAAAAGTAAATTAAAACATCAGCATATTGTTATTGTTCATCAAAGTTTTTCCACAAACATAAAGATTTCCTAGTAAGAGTAGTTCTATAATAAATAAGAAGACATATTTAAATATTCAGAAATATTACTGGGGTGGACTATTTTGATTGCTGCATAATCTGTCTTCTAGTAAATTCTGATACCCTTTAGGTGAGAAGCTGAGTCTCAGGCTGTTCCATTTCAAGTGCCTTGACATCTTATTCTGCAAAGGGATGGTTGTGCTCATTAAAAGCCTTGGTGCTGCCGTTGTTCCTCACAATGGCCAGTTTGCCCAAGATTCTGAAAGTGTAGCAGACACTTAAGTAGTACTAAGATTTGTTCTTTAACCTGCTACTTATTATCTGTAGCACCTGGGGCAAGTTACTGAGCTTTTCTTTGTTTCCGTGTTCTTCTTCTGAGAATGAAGCAAATTACTGTATATTGTATACAACCTCAGAGGGTTGTGTGGTTTCAGTGAAAGAGAATCAAAATTACTTGGCACATAAATAGTGCTCAACACATGCAAACCTTTATTAATAATAATTTTCATTTTGGTTGGCAGAGCTATAATGTGTTTATGTTATGGCTCATATTTAAATATAAAGAAGACATAGTCAATCAACAGGTGCTCACACTTTGGTAGAAAGATCATCTTTAATGATAAAATGCCTTCTCATCACCATAGGAATTCTGGGCTTATTATAAGCAATTTGAAATAGAGCACATTACCTCTGTCATGAGAGAACTCTTTGCACAAAAGCAAAATTTAATGCAGGAAATTTTCTCCAACCAAAGAAATATCTGGTTATTATCATTATTAATATCTAATCCAGATATTAGATAAATCTCCCACCATAAGTATGACAAAGAAAAGAAGTAACCAAAATATAAATTAACCAATCCCCTGTGCCTTGATTTCATGCTTTGTAAAGAGTAGATTTTTTAAATAATATGCTTACACTTAATTAAGATAGGTTTATGGAAGTTGAAGGGATAATAAAGTACAAGATTACTTTTCTAATTACATTTTCCTGAACATTTATAGCAGATAGGGCTACAAGAAGCCCACACTGGAAAGCCTGGGGACCTATGTAGGAGAAAGGATTTTCACCTTTATGTAAACAGCAGAGTATTCATGGCTTTGCTAGAGCTGTCTTTGCAAATGGAGATTTGAGAGGTACTGAAACATTCTCTTGTCCCTCTGAGATGAAGGAGTCCCAGGTCTGCCCATACCTATTGAATGGCCTTGGGCAAGTTCCTGAAGCCCCCAGGTCTCTTCATCTGAATAGTGTGTTTTTGAGAATTTCATAAGATGCAGTATGTAAAATACCTACCTCCATGCTTGCTATACACTTACAATAGGTTCTCAGCGTGTGGTTTCTCTTCTTTTTCCAGAGAGGAAAGCACACACAATTCTATTCTCTAACACTTTCCTTTGTGAAGGTATCGGTGTGTTTGGGGCTTGTATGTCTACTCCAGCCACTTTGGGGTGAAGGAGACACATCCAGATGTAGGCCTTTCCATCTTTGGAAGGAAAAAGGAGATAGAACATTTTGATGTTGCAAACACAGAATTAAATGCTAGCTAACATGGGTAAGTTAAATTAGATCGAGTGCTAAGGAGAAAGGGATAAGTCCTATAGTTCAAAGCCAAAATTCGATCAGTACATAATTCTGTATGATGGGCTCTGCCTTGTCTGTCGTGGTGTATACACCTAGTTCTCATCCATCCGTCCAGGTAAGGGCACCAGCATCCGCACCAGGGAAAATAGGAGATGAATTAAACAGACATGCTCCTTGCCCTCAAGGTGTTTCCAGGGGCATTGGCCTGAGGATTCAAAAGGGAGGAAGAACTGAGATAAGCCAAGTATCTTTCTCTCCTGTGTGAGGCCTGTGATTTTAATCAGAGAAAGTTAGAAAGAAGACACAGCAGCCTGCATTTTTAAAGGACAAGAAGAAAAAGGTAGAAAAATTAGATACTAGGAAAGATGAAATGGAATAGAATTTAGTGGGGTAAGTGCCATTTTCATGACGATGGCATAGATTTGTATTTCTTAATCCTTTCAACAGTATGTGCTTGTTCTAATAGTCACGTATTCCTTGTCAAAAAGGTCGGATAAGTACAGAACATTTAGAGGAGAAAATAAAAATAAGAAAATCTTTACACTTAAATCATGGTTAATATTTTTGGGTCCATATAATTTTTCAGATCTTTAAGGTGTCAAAACGCATTCTTTTCTTCTTTCTTCTTCCTTTTTTTTCTTTTGAGACAAGGTCTCAGTCTGTCACCCAGGCTAGAGTGCAAGGTTATCATCATAGTTCACTGCAAACTTGAACTCCTGGAAAGTGATTGTCCTGCCTTAGCCTCCAAAGTAGATGGGACTGCAGGCATGTACCACCTTGCCTGGCTAATTTTTTTCAATTTTTGTAGAGAAGGGGATCTTTTCCTCAGGCTAGTCTTGAACTTAAGCAATCCTCCCTCTTCAGCCTTCCAAAGTGCTAGGTTTACAAACGTGAGCCACCATGCCCAACCCACATTCTTATGAGTAAGGAGAAAAACGATAAATCAGACATTTTGTTCAATTAGGAAGGATATGTTTCCAAATTTATTATGATGTTCATAATCTCACACTACAGTAATAGAAACAGTTACATTTTATTCAGTTTGAGATCAGAATACATCTTCCAAATGGCATTGAGATTTATATAGATTTGTTTGTTAACGTGGCCTTTTTATATAATTGGGAATAAATTTGAGATGTTTGATTTACTTAGCTTTCAGACTTTAGGGAAAAAACCCCTGAAGATCTACAAAAATATTTTTCTTTGAGCTTTTTATTTTTTTCTAAGTTAGATTAAGTGCCTTTGGGGTCAATGTTTTCAGGAGTTATTTTGCTGGTTTTTAGCCCAAACTTATCTTTAATACTGATAGCACTTTGCTTTGAGAACAGTTTTTTTGTTAGATTTTCATTTCTACTTCACAGAAAAAATAATAATACGTACTTTTAGGTATTGTGGAAGAATATCAGCTTCCCTATCATGACCTCGTGCCCAGTGACCCCTCTTATGAGGACATGAGAGAGATTGTGTGCATCAAGAAGTTACGTCCCTCATTCCCCAACCGGTGGAGCAGCGACGAGGTGAGGCTTGAGATAACACACAACTGTGACTGACTTCCAAACAGACTTTATTTTTCTTTTGCCAAAATTCTAGATATTCACTATAGGAATTCCTTGTGGTGACATAGTACATCATTACAGTAAGTTAGATGAAAATAAGCGTAGTATATGAAATTATTTCTTTTTTATAATTTTATTTTGCTACTTCCAGAATATATCAAATATGTCACCATTTACCATGTATAACATATTAACATTATTTCATTTACTTATGACATCTTGACATTTTTGTTAAAGGTTCTTAATTTGTTATGTGTGTTTTAATTTTTTTTAATTTTCATTTTTAAATGTTTTTTTATTAAATCATAGCTATGTACATTAATGCAATCATGGGGTACAGTGTGCTGGTTTTATATACAATTTGAAATATTTTCACCAAACTGGTTGACGTAGCCTTCATGGCATTTTCTTAGTTATTGTGTTAAGACATTTATATTCTACATTTAGTAAATTTCATATGTACCCTTATAAGATGCACTGTAAGTGTGGTCCCACCAGTTACCCTCCCTCCACCCATCCTCACCCTCCATCTCTTCTTTCTCCCATTTCCCCATATTCTTGGGCTATAATTGGATTATAGCTTTCATATGAAAGCTATAAATTGGTTTCATAGTAGAGCGTACATTGGATCCTTTTTCTTCCATTCTTGAGATACTTTGCTAAGAAGAATATGTTCCAGCTCCATCCAGGTAAGCATGAAAGTGGTGAAGTCTCCATCTTTCTTTAAGGCTGCATAATATTCCATGGTGTACATATACCACAATTTATCAATCCATTTGTGGATCGATGGGCACTTGGGCTTCTTCCATGACTTAGCAATTATAAATTGGGCTGCAATAAACATTCTGGTACAAATATCTTGTTGTAAAATGATTTTTGGTCTTCTGGATATATACCTGTAGAGAAATTGTAGGATCGAATAGCAGGTCTATTTTTAGATCCCTAAGTATTCTCCCACAGCTGGTACATTCCCACCAGCAGTGTACAAGTGTTCCCTTTTCCCCGCATCCACACCAACATCTCTGGTTTTGAGATTTTGTGATATGGGCTAATCTTGTTGGAGTTAGATGATATCTCAAAGTAGTTTTGATTTGCATTTCTCTGGTGATTAAAGATGATGAGCATTTTTTCCTATGTATCTAGGCCACGCTCCTGTCTTCTTCAGAGAAGTTTCTCTTCAAGTCTCTTCCTCACCCTGAGATGGGATCACTTGTTCTTTTCTTGCTAATACGTTTTGAGGTCTCTGTGGATTCTGGTTATTAAACCTTTTTCTGAGACATAATCTACAAATATCTTCTCCCATTCTGAGGGCTGTCTGCTTGCTTTACATACTGTGTTCTTGGCTATGCAGAAGCTTTTTAGTTTGATCAGGTCTCAGTAATGTATTTTTGGTGTTGCTTTAATTGCCCGGGGTAGGGGTGGGGGATCCTACTCATAAAATATTTGCCCAGGCCGATTTCTTCAAGTGTTTTTCCTGCACTTTCTTTTAGTATTTTTATAGGTTTATGTCTTAAGTTTAAATCTTTAACCCAGTTAGAGTCTATCTTAGTTAATGGTGAAAGGTGTGGGTCCAGTTTCAGTCTTCTGCAGGTCGCCAGCCAGTTCGCCCAGTACCATTTGTTAAATAGGTTGTTGAATGTTTTTAATTGGCTTGTCAAAGATCAAATAACAGTAATAACCTGGGTTCATTTCTTGGTTCTCTATTCTGTTCTATATATCTACCTCTCTGTTTTTGTGCCAGTACCATGCTGTTTTGATCACTATCAATTTATAGTGTAGTCTGAGGTCTGGTAGCGTGACTCCTCCTGCTTTGTTTTTATTTCTGAGTAATGTCTTGGCTATTTGAGTTTTTTTCTGATTCCACATAAAACAAATATTATATTTTTGAGATCTTTAAAGTATGACAGTGGGACTTTAATAGGGATTGCATTAAAATTATATATTGCTTTAGGTAGTATGGACATTTTTAACATTGTTGATTCTTCCCAGCCATGAGCATGGTGTGTTTTTCTATTTGTTAACATTTTCAGCTATTTCTTTTCTCAGAGTTTCATAGTTCTCTTTATAGAGATCTTTCATGTCCTTTGTTAGGTAAACTCCAAAGAGTTCATCTTCTTTGGCACTACTGTAAACAGAATAGAGTCCTTTCAGCATGACTATTGTTGGTATATATAAAGGCTACAGATTTATGAGTATTGACTTGGTAACCTTAGATGCTGCTGTATTTGTTCATAACTTCTAGGAGTTTTGTAGTAGAATCCCTGATGTTTTTGAGATATACAATCATATCGTCTGCAAAGAGTGAAATTTTGATCTCTTCTAGCCCTATGTGAACACTCTTGATTGCCTTGAGCAACCTTGCCTGGTTCCCAATCTGAGTAGAAATGATTTTCAATTTAACTCCATTCAATACGATATTGGCTGTGGGTTTGCTGTAGATGGCCTCTATCAGTTTAAGAAATGTCCCTTCTGTACCCATTTTCTTAAGTGTTCTAATCATGAAAGGATTCTGGATATTATCAAAAGCTTTTTCTGCATCAACTGAGAGAATCAATGGTCTTTGTTTTTTAATTTGTTTATGTGATGAATTATTTATAGATTTATGTATATTGAACCAGACTTGAGACCCTGGGATAAAACCCACTTGATCATGGTGTATAATTTGTTTGATGTGTTGCTGGAATCTGTTTTCTAGGATCTTGTTGAATATTTTTGCATCAATATTTGTTAGTGATATTGGTCTATAATTTTCTTTTCTTGTTGGGTCTTTTCCTGGTTTGGGGATCAAGGTGATGTTTGCTTCATAGAATGTGTTGGGTAGTATTCCTTCTTTTTCTGTATTTTGGAAAAGGTTGAGTAATATAGGT